ATATATATATATATATATATATATAATACACTTGCATGCATAGATGCATCTGTGTATGCATTTACATACGTACATACGGGGTGGGGGACGGGGGGAGGAGAGGGTGTTGCGTGGTTGCCAGGGTTGGGGCTGGGACAGCTGACTTAGGGTTTACTGCTCAGGGTGTGGTTGTTCACCGCATGTATGCGTGCGCATGCATGCGTGTTGCTCTACTAGTGTGTCTGCATGCATGCATGCATGCATGCATGTATGTTCTTCTCGTGCGTCTTTATGCATGCATGCAGCCTACCCAGTTGATTGGGGAGTTTCGTACCGCGTTGGACGAATGCCTCAACGCAGTGCAGCAGAAGGAGCCGCCGCAGCAGCGGGTGGAGTGGTATACCCACAGCATTCCTGTAGACAATTTGAATGTCTACCGCGTCAACTGGCCCACGGCTTGATCCTAAACCCTAAACCCTAAACCCTAAACCCTCAAAAGGTCGATATTCTACTCAGAGTGCAGTGTGCTGTAATAAGAGGTGGATATGCTCGCCTATTGCCGCTGTTTTGTTTTTCTGCCTTCGGCGCCTTCGAGTGTACATACACTCGGCGGCGCCTTCGGGTGTATATACACTCGAAGGCAGCTGCACTTCTTTGTTTCCGCCCACCACCTCCTGGGCGGCGAACAACCGTTATTTAATTTGTTTTAAGAGAGGGAACTGGAAAGCAGCTGGTTGCGCGTCGACAGTAGGGGACAGCAACCAACACAAGCAGAACCGATTCAAAAAAAAAACAAATTTCACATCCAACAAGCCGGTGGAGCAGAATGCATGCATGCATGCATGCATGCATGCAGAACGCATGCATGGATACATGCACGCATGGCTGCAGTTCAAATCAGAATAACGGCGTACATTAGTTTCAGCCTGTGATTGCTTTTAGCGCTGCCGTTGGCTGTTTTGTGTTGGCTTGAGCAGTGTCTGTTTCGCCGCTGTCCTTTATTGCTGCTGCCTCTGTTGCTGCTGCTGCTGCTGCTGCGATGCTGCGGCTGGCAGCAGCAGCAGTGAACCTATCGTCTGTGTCAGGGAAGAAAGGCTCTTCGAAGGCAGCCAGCAGCACTCGCACCTTCTTGGGCCCTATGCCGGGGCACTGCTGCAGCTGCTGCTGCCGCGCCTTGAATATATTTCGCATGCATCTGAATTCCTTCGCTAAAGAAACGAAATCTGCGCGGTTCACTGACGGTAAGACCCGCAGCACCTCTGCAGCAGCAACACCAAAAAAAACAAACGAGCATGCAGAAGAAACAAATACATCAATAGACACAAAAAAAACGGAAATACAATAAAAACACAAGATACACACACTTCATTCAAGTGTATATACACCCAGAAACACCAACACCAGCGGGCGTTGCTGCACTGCCTGCCTGGCTGTTTCTAATACAGAAACCACATCGACCTGAACTCCTCCCCTCTGCTTTAACTTGGGAACATGTCTAGTCATCATGATTCAAACAGCTATCATATAATATATATATATATATATATATATATATATATATATATATATACGTAGTGGATGTAATGTTGTATATCTTCGAAGTATTCAACCAACACAACAACAAAATACCACTTTATATATGTATATATATGATATATTGTGTTATATATATATATATATATATATATATAAATGATATATTGTGTATAAGTGTAAGAGAGACCGACCAGCACAACGGGGGGCATGTCTGTCGTCCAGTGCGGGCTGCAAGGCATCCGAGGCGCGATTTTCAGATGCCTTCAGCTGCTGCAGCAGCTCTGCTGCTTCTGCTGGTGATGCAGCAACAAGGAGAATAAAGCCGTAGTGGAACGCATGCAAGATCACTTGAGCTGCACCAAGCGCATGAGACAAAGAAAGAAAGCAGCAGCAGCACCAGCAGCAGCAGTTCAAAATTTCTGCAATCTATACTTTTGCTGCTGTTGTTAAGCAGCATACAAGAAGAAGACAAACTGCAGAGAGAGAGTGAGAGAAAGAGAGAGAGAGGAGGAGTAGCAGGGCTTAGAGCCTCCAGTATTCCTCTTGCCTTCTATCTCATCCCTCTCTTACACTGTTGCTGCTGCTGTTGAATAAAAAACAGAAAAACAAATTAAAAAAAGAAGAAGAAACAACAAAACTTACCAAGAGATGCATGCGCTCCCTCAACGTCGTTCAGAAGCAGAAGAAAACGTCTGCTTAGCTCCCGCCGCCGCTGCAGCGGCAGCAGCCGCTGCAGCAGCTGCTTAGGGTGCAGGCGGTGATACTTTAAACTAAGAAAGACAACACAGGAGCCAACCCCAACAAGAAAGTCGGGGGCGATGGGCGCGAAACAGAAAGGAACAGAAGAGAAAAACCTGAATAAGAAATGTACAAAAACACAGCAACAGCAGCATGCATGCAACAACACACGCACGAGCAGCAACTGCAGCAAATGCTG